TTTTCCTGGTTTACTTGGCTTTTTCTCATGAAAATAGGTCTGAACTTAAACACATTTATTATCGATTTGCCCAAATGGTCCACACCCAATTCTCCAAAACCATCAAAATTTTTCGCTCTGACAATGCTATGGAATATCGGGATTCTGATTTCCTTTCCTTTCTTCAGCATCATGGTACACTGCCTCATCGTTCTTGTGCTGGCACGTCCCAGCAAAATGGCCGTGCTGAACGGAAACATAGGCATATTCTTGACACTACTCGCGCTCTCCTTCTCTCTTCTTCCTGTCCTGAAAACTTTTGGGGAGAAGCTGCTCTCACTGCTGTTTACACTATCAACTGTGGTCCTTTCCCTGTCATCCATAATCAAACTCCCTTTGAACGTCTGCATGGCACTCCCCCTCCTTACGCCAATCTCCGGGTTTTTGGCTCTGCTTGTTTTGTTCTACTTCAATCCCATGAACACACCAAGCTTGAACCTCGTTCTCGTCTTTGTTGCTTTCTTGGGTATGGAATTAAACATAAAGGCTTTCGCTGTTGGGATCCTCTCTCTAACCGTCTTCGTATCTCCCGCTATGTCGTTTTCTGGGAGCACCAAATGTTTTCCTCGCTATCCTTCTTTCACTTACCCGCACTTTCCACTACTGTCCTGTTTACTAATCCTTCCATAGATCTTTTCTCTGCCGATTTTGATACAGGTTCCTCCTTCATCGAGACGCCCTAGCTCACTCCTGATCCTGTCCAGCCTGCTCTCCCTGAAGGTCTACCTCTTATTGCCACACCTCCTTCTCTACCGGTTCTTCCTCCCACCGATCCTCCTACGGGTCGACCACGCCGGGTCACTCAACCTCCTATCCATCTTCGTGATTATATTGTTGGATCTGCTGCCTTCTCTACTTATGAACCTACCTCCTATCGTGAGGCTTGTACTAATCCTCTTTGGCAGCAAGCTATGACTGATGAACTCCAGGCCTTGGACAAAGCTCATACTTGGGATCTTGTTGATCTTCCTCCTGGCAAGACTGCCATTGGCTGCAAATGGGTTTACAAAATCAAAACACATTCTGATGGCTCTATTGAGCGCTACAAATCTCGTCTTGTTGCCAAGGGTTTCAACCAAGAATATGGTATTGATTATGAGGAGACATTCTCTCCCGTTGCTCGGCTTACCTCTGTTCGCAGTTTACTTGCTGTTGCTGCTGCTCGCCACTGGGGGTTCTTTCAGATGGATGTCAAAAATGCTTTCCTCAATGGTCATCTTCTTGAGGAGGTCTACATGTAACCTCCACCTGGGTCCACTTTTCCACCTCATCAGGTTTGCAAACTACAACGTGCTCTCTATGGCCTCAAGTAAGCGCCTCGTGCTTGGTTTGTTACGTTCAGTTCTACTATTCATGACTTCGGGTTCACCTCTAGCTCCTATGACTCTGCTCTTTTTATACGGACTACTTCTCATGGTACCACTCTTCTTCTTCTGTATGTGGATGATATGATTATCACTGGTAATGATGAAGCTGGTATTCTCCACCTCAAACAGTTTCTCCACCGACAGTTTGAGATGAAGGACCTTGGTACTCTTAATTACTTCTTAGGCCTTGAAGTCTCTCATGATTCTACTGGTTCCTATTTGTCCCAGGCCAAATATGCATCCGATCTTCTGGCTCGTGCTGGTCTTACTGATTGCAAAACTACCTCTACTCCAGTTGATCCTCAGATTCGTCTCACTCCTCTCGATGGGACTCTTCTCTCTGATGCTACTCTTTATCTCCAGCTCGTCGGCAGTCTTGTCTATCTCACAGTAACTCGTCCTGACATTGCCTATGCTATTCACATTGTTAGTCAGTACATGTCGGCTCCTCGCACTCCCCACTATACTGCTCTACTCCGCATCCTTCGCTACCTCAAAGGCACTCTGTTCCATGGCCTTCACTTCTCTGCTTCCTCCTCTCTTGAACTGCGTGTCTTTTCCGATGCTGATTGGGTTGGGGATCCTATGGATCGACGCTCCACCACGGGATTCTGCTTCTTCTTAGGGGATTCTCTTCTTGCTTGGCGTAGCAAAAAACAATCCCTCACTGCCCGCTCTAGCACCGAAGTTGAATACCGAGCTCTTGCTGATACTACTCAGAAACTTCTCTGGCTTCGCTGGTTCCTTGCTGATATGGGTGTTTGTTCTTCTGATCCTACCCCTCTCTATTGTGACAATCAGAGTGCCATTCAGATTGCTCACAATGATGTTTTTCATGATCGCACCAAACATATTGAGATTGATTGTCATTTCATTCGTCAGCATGTTACCTGTGGTACTGTTCATCTTCTCCCTATTGCCTCAGTCGATCAACCCGCTGATATCTTCACTAAGGCTCATCCTCCTGGCCGCTTCAATGATCTTGTTTCCAAACTCAACTTGGTTGATGCTTTCCCTCCTTGAGTTTGTAGGGGGATGTTAGTGCATAATTGTATAATTGTTAATAGCTTTATGTTAGTGCATACTTGTATAATTGTTAATAGCTTTAATTATTAATCACTTTAGCACTTTATTCTTTATGCATTCGGTGGGCATCCAATGCACCATAATTCTCTCTATAAATATTTCCAGCTTTGGAAGGAATACATATCTTAGACACAAGGCTTGTTCCTACTGTGATCAGTAGGGAGATGAATCCTAGAAGCATCAACTCTGCACATTTTTTTAATTTTTAAAAATAATTTGATAATAAAATACCATTTTTTATTTCATTATTAATTCAAAAAGAATATGCAGTGTGCATAGAAAAACAATTATAGAAATGTACACTACAAGAAAAGTGGTCTATAACGGCGCTTCAATCAAGACGTTTTAAAAAACGTTGTGGTGTACTGATAGTCAACACGTTTTTCATGGCGTCATGCTCGCTGTATTTAACTTAATAGACACTTAAATCCCATTCTAATTACAAAAGTAACACAAAATCTCTCTCATACACTGCTCTTCTTCATCGAACTCGATCTCTCTCTCTCACAAATCGCAGATCCATAATCGAACAAAAAAGTCGATCTAATCTGATCGAAATCCGAACTCGATCTGATCTCTCTTGAATTTTGCTAGATCTATTCTTGCTCTAGCTTTTCTTCATCAAACTCAAACTCGATCTCTCTCGCAAATTGCAGATCCCAAATCGAACAAGAAAGTCTATCTAATCTGATCTCTCTCGCATTTTGTTAGATCTGCTGATTAACAAGGTTTCAAGCAAGTTGTTTGTGGTTTGTTTTTCATTATCGAGTGTTAATCGGTGTTTGATTTCATTGTAGGTGGCGATGAAATGTAGAGATCAGTTACATGAACTTGTAAAGGAAGAGATAGAGAAGAAGGATTCGAGTACGGAGGAGTGGAAGATCGCGATGGAGAGAAGCTTCAATCGCATGGACAATGAGGTGATTGCATGGAACGATAGCGTTCTGCGCACCGAGAAATATCGATCCGTTGTTGAAGGATCTGAGTGAGAAGAAGCAGAGCTTCGGGCGGAACGTGGTGTCACTGACGGTGGAGCTCAAGGAGGTCCGAAGCCGTCTCGCTTCACAGGAGCAGTCATTGGCTCTTCAAACCCTAACAAGATATGCATGTGAATTTGTATATTTGTTTATATGTTTCCATGTATATTTGTTTGCATCTGTGTGTACTTTGGAAATAAAATCATTTCATTTCACCTTTTTGTTCTTCTCTGTAAAGTGATGTTCTTTGTGGGATCTTCTCTAATTTTGTGTATTTTTGGGTTTTTTATTTTTTATTTTTTCCCTAGGCAGAGGCCAAAGCTAAGAAGATGGAGGAGGAGATGTATAGATTACCGGAGAGCTTAGAGGAGAGAAATGGGCAGCTTCAAGCATCAGCATCTACTGCTGGGATGGTATGATTTTGCTCTGTTTTCCTTTTATGCACCTGATTGCATAGCTTTCTCTTGATTTCTATTAAAGTATATATATATTTTTTGAATTTCGTTATTAATTCCATGATTGGGTTTTGGTTGATTTTGCATGAGTTTGTGTGGTTGATTTGTGTGTTTCCAGCATCTTGCTGTTTGAGGCTTCAACTTGCCAGACGCATCTGATCCTCATCTTTTTGGCTTTTCTTGTTTGTTTTCTGGCTGAGTGAGAATATTATAAGAATCATGAGATTCATGATTAGATATTATTGTTTCTCTTTGTGGTTTGATTAGTTCAATAACTGTGACTTTATTTATTGGGTAAAGTTGGGAAAAGAATTGTGAGTGACTTTTATTACTATAAGCTGCTGCAGATCAATTATGAAATTGAATGTAAACACTGGGTATTTCAATTTCTATCTGCATGTTGAGCTCTTGGTTGGTGAACCATTTTATTATGGAAATGATAGCATGCTTCCATGGCAAAACCTGCGGTTTTGGTAAATAATACTACTTTAATTTGTATTTGTACGATGTGTCTTAATTTGAGCATCAAATAGTGTGTCCGAACTAGGAAATATTGCATTCAGTTTTATCTCAGATTGAAATGCTTAGTTTTGTAAGAATATCACTCGCCCTGATCATTTTGGATGTGTTAATGCCTGAAAATGAATTAAAGTCCTACTATAAGGTGTTGGAAGTTTACTCAACTCTTATTCTTAATTCAAAATTTTCGTCGGCAAACTTATTGAGATGTTATTCTGACTATTTCTTCATCAGTGATGCTTAAGATCTTCTTTACCAAAGGTTTTGAATATGTTCCATGCCTACTTAAATTAGGTAGATTTGGATTTCAAGTATGAGGGGTGGAATTTTTTACGAGGATACTTTTGATGTTAATGAAGAAGCATTGGCAGGTGCAAGAAACTGATGAATGCATGGGCCATAACTTATTGTTTATAAGAAGATGTAAAACATCATACATATTTTTTCATTTTTATAGTAGGGTGCTAAGTACTGAATTTTATGGCACTTATTATTTGCCATGGCTGCATGTATAGACACATTTTTTAACTTGAAAGTTTTCTGAAGTATAATTAGAGCATATCTATGTAAACTTAAGTTGAATATTACTCGAAGATTGTCCTTTCAATTCGACATAGTCGTACCGTAAATGATCTTCAAGGCATTCTCTGAGCATCAGATCGAGGGGTAGATGCACTTGCACATGTGTAAGGACTTATATAACTGTGTGGGTGAAAATCTGACCACACTGCCCGTTTAGTGATCAACTGGAGAGCACAGGTAGAATAGATGGCTTCGGTAACCTGTAACAGAAAGAAAAGGCTCCGGCGGTGGTTCTTCCACCCGGGGGCACTCCGACGATCAAGTCAGTATATCTCTCAAAGATAATCAAGTGCTAAACTTAATACTCAAACATAAATTGCATACCTTAGACCCACGGGGGTGCCTCTCTTTTATAATATACTCAATCCAAGTCCTACTAGAAGTATGACTTCTATGAATTTCCAATTCAGTGTTTATTTTGGACTCTTTAAGAGATAAAGATAAACTCCCTAAGAGCTTTATCTTTATCTTGATTAAGTCCCTTCTTCGTCTTAGGACTCTTGTCCCTTATCTATTTATCTCGGATTCCGATATCTTCGGAGATAACCTCGGCGACTCCGAGATCATCTCGGCTTAACTACCACGACACGTGGTACCTCGGCTGACACGTCGGCGTCACCATGCCACGTGTTGGTATTCTGAAAATATATCCCCACAATAACCATGTTCTGTAGTACATGCCACCTTAGGGGCATGTGGTGATTTACCCGCATCCCAAGAGAGCCCTTGTTTTCCCTTTTTTGTTTGGCAGTGTGTGGAGAATAAGGTAATCAATTTGTGTAATGGAAGGTACTTTTTATTTGAGAATATAATGATATTACATTTTGATATTAAATGCAATTTGAGTTCAAATCATTTCAGGGGCTCAGTGAGATATCTACAGTCATGGAGTTTGATTTCTCAAAACCCATTAGTCCTTGTTTTGGGAAAGCCCAGGTATTGAATTATCCCTGCTTTTGAATGTGCTTGTGTAAAACTGGTCCTGCACCAGGATCTGCAATATCTGAACCAGGTATCAAATGTATACTTACAAAGAAATTTTTCTAGGTTGAATTTACGGAGCCTGGGATATGCCATGGTTTTGTGCTCTGGATTGATTGGGTGATGGACATTGATAACTCCATTGCGCTTTCAACAGGACCCAGTATGTTTGAGTTTTGTGCTAGAATGAAATACTGGGAAATTGGTATCTATTTTTGCTGTTTGTCGCACATAATCATACCATCTTTATGCTTTAAAACTATTGAACTCACCTAGTTAACAAAAAGCGGGAAATTGGAACTTCCTCGTTTACAGACATTGATAACTCCATTGCGCTTTCAACAGGACCAGTATGCTTGAGTTTTGTGCTAGAATGAAATACTGGGAAATTGGTATCTATTTTTGCTGTTTGTCGCACATAATCATACCATCTTTATGCTTTAAAACTATTGAACTCACCTAGTTAACAAAAAGCGGGAAATTGGAACTTCCTCGTTTACAACACACTTTTGAAATAATGCATAAAACCTTCTCGGGCTTTTTCTTATCTTACATGTTTGTTCAGATAAAAGATACTGGAAGCAAGGAATTAAGCTGTTGGCCAAGCCAGTCACAGTTGGAATCCATGGATCAAGTAGAGGTAACATTTCAGCGAAAATTGAGGCGTCCTTCAACCCATCAAACGGTGAAATTGATATCAAATATGCTTTCACATAATTCTAGAGTTGCATCAGCCGAGCCTCTCTGTGTGTTCTCTCAATTGAACCTGGTGCTCAATCATTTATTCCTGCTGTATCGTTAGGTACATTAGTTACAAATTTTATGGAATCGTGTAATGACGGATTTCAGGATTCAATTTTTCCTACATTGTTCAATCTTTTCTAATGGGTTTTGGAGCACATGTTATGGACTCCTGTTTCACCACCTCACGAGTCCGTTGTGGTACGCATAGAATTGTATTCCTTACAATTTTTTTTTTTTTTTTTTTCCAGCTTGTTAAGATTCATTCTCCAATGCGTTCTGATCCAAACCGTGTTGTAAAGTGGGTACCTGACTGTAGCACTATTGTTGCTGCCAGGATTGCATCAGAAAAGTTATTAAGGTAACTGATCTTCATTTTGTTTTCTTTTCCTTTCAAATTAGAGCCTTGCATAGTTTATCATTTGCTTGAACAATAACCACTCAAAGAGGTAGACAAAAATATTTGGTTTGATGTTTCTGATGATATCACTGACATCCCCTATAGCCCTATGGCTTTTGAAATATATTTTAAAATTTGAACTGTCTCGAGGTTTGGGTGTCGGGCATCATTTTCATCTATTATTTGAGAATGGGTCAATTTATATTAAAACAGTGAAACTTTTGGTTTGAATCTTATTTTAAGTGGATATCTTATCATGTAGAGCCAAAAAAAACCTTGATTAGGGAAGTCTATTACTAATGATTGAGAGGGTTTAGTGTTTTTGTGGTCTTTTGGCTTCTCCAACATGTCATCCACATAATTTTTTGGAATATGTCATTTTACTTGAACCTCAAGCTTTGCCCTCAGCCAAGCAAAGCTATGGAAACTTTAATTTGGTAAGGAAATCTGATGCTTGTAATTGGTATAATCAAAGTTTTCTTGAAATTTGTTGTACGATGATTATGTTTTTTGAGTATATATTACCATGTAATGGAAAGAAGTATGGGTAATAAAGAAAGTTCATGGTAATTTTTTAGTGTTTGATTATCTATACGTTCATTGATGAAACTGCCCTTAAAGATCTTACTATACATGTTCTTATTATGAAGGGGATTTATGTATAAGCTTTTATCTCTTTATGATTTTGATGGTATCTATTGCTTTGTTCTAGATTTTCTTCAAAAAGATTATAATTTACAACTGTTATTTATGTGTAGGTCAAAAGGATAATTTTGCGGAGGGAAAGATCTACTTCTAGATGTAAGGAATTTAACAGGGCCAAAATTGAAATTTTGTTGGAAATTTTTTATTTTTTTATTTTTTGTAAGAGCATTTAAATATTTGAGTGTGTTGATTGGTGAATTTCAGATTTTTTTTTTGTTTTTTTTAAAGATTGGTTGAATCTTATAACTTAAATATGCTTTTGTGAACATGTACAGTTTAATTGTTCTTTGATATTGAATTTGATGGTTTTATCGACATTTATTTTTATTTTTTGTTAGGATGTGTTTTGTGAATAGAATGAGCATATTTTATATTAATTAAATTATGAAATAAAGTAAAAAGGTGGCGTTTTTGTTCAAAACGCCACTATATCCTGTGACGTCATCAGTCATATTGGAGAAAATTATTTAAGCAGATTTAATAGTATACCGGCGTTTATGAAAACGTCACTAAAAATTCAGCGACGTTTATTAAACGCCTCATACCTATAGCGACGGCTGTATCATCGACGTAACATAAAAACGCCGGTATAATATTTTGGTGGCGCTTTTTCCACTTATAGAGGCGTTTTTGAAACGCCGGTAAAAACAGTTTTTCCTGTAGTGTGTAGGATGAAAAATTAATGTTGGCCCAAACTCAGTCGAGGTGTTACTGTTTTTTTTTATATTTTAAATACTATTATTGATTATGTAATAGTTGAAAGAGATAAAGAGATGACATATCCATATGATGATTTTTCAAAAAATAAAAAATAAATATGAACGAAGTAACTATATGATCACATGTCACTGGATGAACGTACTAAAATTCTAAACTCACCTAATAATTTTTGAATTGCATCCCTTTAATAAAATTCTAGACTCACCTCTAATTTTTGAATTGCATCACTTACTTTAATAAATGAGAAAGATAGTCAACAAGTTGTATATAATCAACAAATAGCTCCTCTAAACTTACTACTTGTAATTATCCATGATATGAGGAATCCTTTTTGGCGTTCTGCTATAAACTTTATAAACTTCATCATATTATATGATATATATTTCAATATAATTGTGAAGGGGGGAGAGAGAGAGAGAGAGAGAGAGAGAGAGACCGACTTTAATCTTCTCCAAAGCCTCAATCATGGCCTTTTTCTGGAGCTTTCGAAACCACTGTACCATTCAAGAAACCAAAGTTAATAATTCAGAATTGAATTCTTTCCATCAAACCATACATAAAAAGCTTGGAGAATCATTCAAATTTTACATAAAAATCTTAGTCAATTTTACCTTTTCAAGAGAATGAATCCCATGTTCAATATGAACAGAAATGATCACAAAAACTGCAGAAACAAGTGCAACAGCCCATGTTGGTGTCTCCCTCAGCGACCGAACTCCATTAGCCCCCGCTACCATGGCAGAACTTTGCTGCCAAAAACACAAAAAATGCTTCGAGAAACAAGTGCATGAACATTGTTTTTGGGGAGATTTATAACATATTGTATGTGTGTATCCACAATCAGGGCATTATAATTTTCATTTTATAGCAATCTTCGGAAGCAATTTCAAGTCACAAAATTTCATACCTGAAGATTTAAGTTGAGGGTGTCGAGTACAGGGTTCACAATTCAGGTCCGGATTAGATCCAAACTCCTCATGCCATCATCTTAGTCTAAACAATACCAGAGATATCTCAATTCTCTTAATGAGCCACAAATATGCTACATCAAGACAATGAAAATGGGAATTAGAGTCAACATTTGAAAGAGAACTCGAGCATAAAGGTTAATCACTAATCTGAGGCACAATGAATGGCCATAGACTAAACAGTGGACCCATACAAAGCAAGAGAAACAACACCTTTAACAAAATTATCAAGTTTAAATGTATGGAGCCATCTTCATAAAATCATTGACCAGAGATATGTGTTATAAAACGAATCAAAGCAATCGACCTCAACTCATGTTTATCCATCAGAGATATGTGTTATAGAGATGCAAGATATGAGTATGAATGTATAAACTTTTCAACCAAAAAAAAAAAAAAACAAAACAAAACAAAAACAAAAAGAAATGGCTAAACGAATTGAAACTCACAAAATGGAGAACAAAACTTCAAAATCTGCAATCCAAGTGGTGGCCTTCAAATCATCGCCAGATCTGAAATCGAGAGAGAGAGTTTTCGAAATCGAGACAGAGAGCGTGTTTGAAATCAAGCGAGAGAGTAGACTGAGAACAAATATGAAGGAGTAGACTGAGAACTTTAATCGCTCAGATTCAAATCTTCAAATCTTCAAATCTTCGACAATCAATAGCAAATCGCAAATCCGGAGTGAGAAATAGAGAGAAGTCGCAAATCACAAATCAATTTTGCCAGAATGAATTTGAGTACTACAGCACTATCGCAAATCGCAAATAAATTTTGCTCAGAATGAATTCGAGCTCGATAGATAGAGAGAGAGAGAGTGAGAGAGAGATGGGGGGGTTGGAGAAATCGCAGCTTTAGGGCTTTAGGATGTGGGTAACGGCGTTAGCCAATTAACACGCGAAGATGATGTTTAAAAGAAATCTAATATAGCGTTTTAAAAATGTTGTTTTAATTGAAAAATAGTGGCGTTTTTATAAACGTCGCAAATAATACGTTGCTATAACCCCTTTTTCCTGTAGTGAACCCAGCTCTATTAAATTAAATAACATAGAAAGTAAACAAATGGATCATTGTTACAACTTTTAATGTTGATTTCATTGCACACGTTTGTTGAAATACATAAGTCATCTCTGTCAATTGAGTATGCTTTATTCCCATTTTCGTTTTCTTTGTTTTATGTTTGAGAAATAAAAATAAAAATCTTATACTTCAAATATTTCACCTCATTTTAGATGGGGTAACGCGATACTTGTAATTGTATTGGATGTGTTGTTAGATTCAAGGTTTTAGATAGTTTTTTCTTTTAATTGGAACCGTATTTTAGACAGGGTCATTTGAGCCCACTCCAAAAGCGTAAACTCAATAATCAAGTGGTACTCTAAAACTAAGATAATTGATGCCTCTTTATTAATAATTTTAAAATGACCATATATTCATCATACTTTCTTCTAACTTACATCAAAAGTCTAATTTCATATTCTTCAACTGTGTCTTGTTTTTTAATTATTTAGTTATTTTTATTGTTTATCTGCTCAGATAAACGGACAAGTTGCATATAATTTAATTTCATAATTTTAGAACCGCACTAAAATTTGTCACAAATTAAACAAAAC